TCCATCAGGATCTGTTGAGCAGAAATATATATAAAATATCTGGAGCGACAAATCAAGAAGCTACTTGGATTCAAATAATGATGGATACGCTGAATAACAAACCTGAAATAAGCAACGTTGTTATAAAATATCATCTTACTAGATTTCCCTTCAAGCTTGCTGAATTGAGTGAGTATTTTCCTAGTATCGATTACCGACCGAAGAGATTCAGTGGAGCTATTCTCAAGTTCGAGACTGCTTGCTTACTCATATTCAACTATGGTAAGATAAATGTGGTTGGCGCTAAGAGCATTGAGTGTGCTGATTCAACTATTGCTGCTTTCTGCATGAAATTAAATCTACCGATTGAATTTCATAATCGTCAGATAGTTAATATGGTTGGTACTTCTAACTTCAAGCGTAAAATAAATCTCGACAAGTTGAGCAGAGAGAAACCACGGATGTTCGAATACTATCCTGAGTTATTTCCAGCAGCTTATTATCGCAAAGAAAAGAGCAAGTGTTTGTTATTTCATACCGGAAAAATGATCATTACTGGCTGTAAAACATATAAAGACATAGAGAGTCTAAATAATGAAGTACGTCTTTGTTTGTTGCTCTATGGATACTTGTAAGCTTTTGGAATTCACTTTAATGACCTTATTCATGATTGTAATCATAATCATGCGTATATTATACATCAATTATGAAGTTGATTCCAATAATGGAACTTTAAAAACTTGAATAAAGTGTTGTGTAAAAAAGACGTTTGCTTTTCCTTTATTCGCGTATAGATATCTTATTTTAACTCGCAATAGAAGTAAACCAGTACAGATATTGAGATGGACATTTTATTCCTTTTCGCAGAGTAACATGAAAGTGTGATAATAAGTCCTGTTAGCTACACAGAAGGAAAAAACTTAAGATGAGCTATATAACATGTAGGTGTGAAAAAGGGTAAGAAAGTTAGGTTATAAGTCAACATTTTATTGCTTCTAGTTCAGGTGCATATGAATAGCTAGGATGCTAACTAAAAAGCCATTTTCGATTTATTGGCCGTCATAAAATGTCCCTTCACGGTCGCTTCTAGGTGGGAGCCCCTCAAGCTCACTCCTGAACCTCCACCCCCTTTCCGACCTGAGACTAGTTTCGCTCCTTTAAGAGCGAAGAGTTGACAATCTTTGGCTCCGCCCATTCGACTCTGCCCTTCTTACTTACTACTCCCTTTACATCTGATAGTGGACTTGAGCAGTTACCATCCATCACTAAAATATTGATGATATTAGTGATCTCTCAAGCTCTTCATTCATTGCTCCCAATAGATTATTGCCAATTTCAACAACTTCATAAATGTAAAGTGAATAAAAAAGTGATTTACGAAATGAATAACAATATTGATATATCGAGTATTTTCATGGTGATTATCAACAAAAAAGGCAAAAAGGTACATTATGTCTTATTGGCAGTCATTTTGTTACTTACAGCATCAATTGGATCCATTATCATGTTCAATGCCTATGTAGATATTTTAACCGCCAAAACTTTACGTGAAAAGATTTTTTGTGTTTTACAGTTTTTAATTGGAATTTCAATAATTATTGATTACTTTTTCCTGGTATTTGTATCTGATTGGAAACGATTTGTTGAATTTATCCAAATTTGGAATAAAACTGGTCTACAAGATGATGAAGAGATAATCAATTACATCAAAAGTGAACGTAAAAAAATATCGTGTCATTATTTTCGCTCTTGATATTCTTTTCACAACTACAGTCTCTTTATTCAGTCCACAATATGGTCAAAGACTGCACCAAATCAGTGTGTGTCACTTGGCGGCAGTCATTTGCACAAGTTTCGCTTACTCTCTTTTATTCAGTTTGGTTAGTGATTTTCCCGTTGCAATTTGCACTCATCATTTGCACCGTATTTATCCGTGTTAATCAACGACTCGAGCATCTGATTGAACATCCTGACTCAGTTGACGACAACATTAGATCAATTCGTTTTATGCACTCTGTCGGTTCACAATTGGCTCTAAAAGCCGATCAATTCGTTCGCTACTTTACAGCAGCCAATTATTCCATTATGGTTTCATTTATTCTGATTAATCTTTATAGCATCATTTTCTTGTCAGAATCATTGAATGACTATTTTGCTGGGACTGGTGTACAAGTTGTTGTCACCTCAGTGGCTGCTATGTTCACGTACTATGCAATCAAAATAAATCATTTGGCCTCAAAGGGGTTTCATCATGCATATCAATTGACTTTTATTGCGAACAGTCCAAATCATTTTGCAGAGGTAAGCTTGCTAAGAAATTACAATTATAAATAAATGACTTAATATTTATTTATCTCGACTTGTTAATAATAACAATGTTGATGAAAAGTTTTATCAACATAATAGTTGACCATTTTTCATTAAAAAAGGGATTGCAATTGATAAAAGTAAGGAAGGTCAACATTACTTATTATGTTTATCTTTAATTTACTTGTTAATAACAATGTTGATATAAATATTGACAGTATGATCAAAATGGTTAAACGCTCGTAAACAACAGGCTTGATCAATTTTAATTCAATATTTGCAAATTAAATAGTGTTGATAGCTTGACTCGACTAAGTATCAAAAAAGTAATAAAAGTCATTATCGATAAATGCAAAGTCAAAATTTATCGGACTGACTATGATTTATAGCTTAAAATAATTGCTAATTATATTGTTCAAATTGTTTGTTAGACTTCTTTACTTGTATACAGAATGGGCCGTAATGATATTGGACTTACATTTGCTAATCTATTTACCATCACAGCATCATTCGTCACTTCTCTGGTTACTCTTTGTATAACATTCATTTTGGCCTTTCCAACAATTCAATGCTGAAGAGGATATCGTGATTGAAGAGACTGTCGCTGTCAAGTTATTAAACAAATCCGTTGTGGTCCGATGAAGTCCTCATTAAACTTTTAGATGAAAGGAAGAGAACCATAATTCATATCAAATCATATTTTCCATCAACGAACACTTTTTTTGTGTATCAGATAATGTTCATGTAAATAAAGGAAACTAGTCACTAGTTGAAACCTCAAAAT